CTCGAGTCAATAACTTTTCCAGTTTTTTGTGGTAAAATTAGGTGCCTCGGCTTATATTTGGGTCGGCCTATACTCGAGTATATACGGTAATCTAAATTTCCTAATTACAGATAGTCCTTGGCTTATCACCATAATTGGGAGCAGAACCTGCTAAGCAAGGTAGGTTCAGTGAGTTTTCGCTGGTTTTATTACTTTTTTTTTTTTTTGCTATAGTTCTTAAGTGGATCACCCTGGTTGTTCAATGAACCACATGGTTGTTAAGCAAATTTGGCCTCCCTCACTGAGTTTGCGTGTCAGCTGATAAGTCGCAAATGACAATCATATGACCTGTCACACTGCAACCATCACAAATATAGTATATGCTGATTGTCAAGTGCCCAAATTTTGATCATATGACCAATGCTGCGACAATTGTAAATGTAAGGACAGGTCATAAGTCACTTTTTTCAGTGCTGTTATAACTTCAAACGATCACTAAACAAATGATTGTAAATTGAGGACTATCTGTATCTATAGATATTAATCCTTTAGGTCTGTTTCAGAATATTGCACCCAGCCTCTGACTACCTTCTTCTCTTCCCTTGCTGTCCTTACACATACATAGAGGCATCCTACAATCATGACTGCAGCTTTTAGCACTAGCAATTACACGTAGACTTATGTAGGCTTATAGGACTTTTAGGAGCCGTGTGGCATAGTGGTTGGAATGCAATACTGCAAGCTACTTCTGCTGACTGCCTGCAATTTGGCAGTTCAAATCTCACCAGTTCAAGGTTGATTGAGCCTTTCATTCTTCTGGAGTCAGTAAAATGAAGACTCAGATTGTTGGCGATAATATGCTGACTCCATAAACCGCTTAGACAGGCTGTAATGCACTATGAAGCGGTATATGTCTAAGTGTGATTGCTATTTACCTCTTCACGGTGCTTTTACAGCCCTCTCTAAGCTGTTTGCAGAGTCAACATATGTTCCCCCATCAATCTGGGTGCTCATTTTACTTACCTCAGAAGGATGGAAGGCTCAATTAACCTTGAGCCCGTCAGGATCAAACTCCTGGCTGTAGGCAGAGTCACCCCGTAGTACTGCATTGTAACTGCTGCGCCACCACAGCATTCTCTACATTTTAGAAAACCGTGGCCTTTCTCCATTATTGTATGGATGAGGAAATAAATGGGGAACTCATCAAATTTGCAGATGACACNATTGGATTTTGAATAAATGTGCAATTAATTGTTACAGTTTTGAATTTTACTGTTACTATCTTCCTTCCGTCGTGCAAACCGCCCAGTCACATGATTCCCCAGCCATGCCCACCAAGCCATGCCCACAGAACCGGTAGTAAAAAAAATTGAATTCCACCACTGGGTGGAGGGCACTGAGGATCATTTTCTAGCACCAATGGGGCGGTGGACTGAAAAAGTTTGGGAACTACTGCTTTATGGGCTATCATGATGCCTAGGATTGTACTGTGGAAGCTTCAAAGAGATATTTTTCATATAGGGTATCCCTTTCATGGTTAGGGAATTGGATAGTTGTTGGATGTATGGATAAAACTTTTTGATGATGTTATACGGATGTCCATTGTCTTGGGATGTGTTATACAGATAGTCTACTTCTGCTTTTTGGAATTTTGGATTATTGTCGTGTTTTTACTTGGCAGTAGACACTTTTTACATAGCTTCTCTCTCTTATGTACTATTGGGCTGTTGCTGTGCTACTTGAGCACCTGATCAGTGTGAGTTTTGCAGCCCATTTGGGGTTGTTGTTTGCCATAGTTTTCCTTGTGTGCGCAGGAAGACTTGTTGCTCTCTCTGTTCTGAATCAGATTCCATGAAAGGAATTACTGATGGTTTTATCTTTTTTGATAATGATGAATGTGCTAGTCACATAACTTAGGTTGTGGATAAGGGATTGGATAGATCATATTCCTGATTGTATTTGTAAGATTATTGTTTCCAGATATCCCATCACTGGTTTTTGCTATAAATCCTGAAATAGGTAATCCTCTGGATATTCCTTTGATCTGTTTGTCTATCTGTCCATCAGATTTGAAGTAGATTATGAGAGAGAACAGTAAACTTCACAAGCTTTGTGTGTTCTGATAATAGAACAGGTCAGGACAGAACAGAAAAAACAGAACAGAACATTCAATCTGGTGTATAAGCTCTCTGGGTACAACAGACAACAACAAAGTGATAGGTCATAGATCACAAATCATAGTTATAATCATTAATCATAAGATACAAACAACAAGTGATAAATGATAAGGTATCAATAAATCATGATATAATCATAATCAGATACATAAGGCTTTATGGGTGTCCTGTTAGGTTTGGAATTGAAACTTTGGGGGAGACTGTTATTTAAGATTATTTACTACTCAAAATAATTTGCTTTTCATAACACAGGAACTAATTAACTACCAAAATAATTTCCAGCTCAAAATATATGAATGATGAAATGTTGCCTGCATTTTAATTTATGTCCACTTAAATACTGCTTTTCTTCCAACATTGATTCAGGGATGGGAAGCAGTTTTAAAGATCTATCTCTGCCTGTCAGAGAGCAGTTTAAACCCGTGCCCAAATTTATCCTCTCTTCCAGACCAAACTCACAATCATTTTATTTCCTTGCATATTGCGTGCCAGAGTCATGCCCAGATGGGGTACTGGGGAGTTCACTGCAAAAAGAGAGCGAGAGAAAGAGATTGATTAGTTAATTTGAGATATACCGTATATACTCAAGTATAAGCCGAGTTTTTCAGCCCACTTTTGGGGCTGAAAAAAGCCGCCTCGGCTTATACTCGA